CCAGTAACCAGGCACGAAGAGGTTGGACACCATCGATGTGAACCTAGGGCAGATAGCTTTCATAGGCTATACACACCCAAAATGCGCTCAATGTAAGACGGTCCATCCAGCGGCGGTTTGTGTCCTTTTCGTCCCCAAGCCAGCAGCATTTACCTCCAGTGGTCGCAACCATACCAGCGACGGCCATAAAATCTGCCACAACTTCAATGGAAGTCGCTGTTCTTCGTCGTCGTGCCGCTTCTCTCACACCTGCAGCCAGTGTGGCAAGGACCACCCATGCATCATGTGCAACCAGCAGCAGCGCGGAGCCAATCGGCCACCCCGCCGCTCCTAGCAGAATGGCTACTGAATCGCTTGACTCGGTACGTAGCTTCTTTCCTATACCCTCTGCATACACCACACTGGTAGCTGACAACTTTGCCCGCCTGTTACGTAACCACTCAGATCAATCATGTGTTGCGTGTGTTCTCCATGATCTGCGCCGTGGCTTTACTCTTGGATCTGCCGGCCAACACGACATTTCGGTTTTCTCTAATAATCTGCTCTCGGCTTTCACTCACTCGGCATTTAGATCCGAGCGATAAGCTGCTTCCTGTGCCCGCAGTGAGACCACAGGCCCATTTCCGTCACCTCCACTTCAGTTCATGCGCCGCTCTGGTATTGGTGCCATCCCCAAAAAGAACGCAAGCTGCGAATGATCCACGCGCAAACGACAGCATTCCTGCCGAGCCACTCTCTCTGCACTACGCGAGCATTGACAACACGATCAACATCATCATGTCATGCCCACAGCCTGTGTATTTGTCCAAGCTCGATGTGCGCAGTGCATTTCAGCAGATCCCTGTCCGCCGTCAGGACTTCGCTGGGAAGCCTCCTAGTACAAAGTGCGCTTTCTGCCTTTCGGCCTCCGCTCCGGTCCAGCCGTCTTTGACTCAGTAGCCACAGCAGTGAACTGGATCATGCAGCACCAGTTTGCTATAGATCACCGGCTTCATTACCTCGACAACTTTCTCGATATCTCCACTGGTTTGGCTGCAGCCAGCCAGCAACTCGACATCCCCCTCCGGGCATTCACGTATCTCGGCATTCCTCTTTGCTCCATCCCAGCTCGAAGGGCCATCATCATCATCGACCTTCCTTGGTATTGTCCTAGACTGCGAGTGCCACGAAGCTCGGCTACCAGCGGACAAATTGTCCGAGATCCGTGCGCCACTCGTGGCTACTATCAGCAAGCGCAGCATCGGCCAGCGTCAACTCGAGTCCCTCCTGGGGAAGCTCGCTTTTGCTGCCCGAGTCATCCTTCCTGGACGCACATTTATGCGTGAACTATGATCAGCGTGCCCTGAACTGTATCTGTGTATGTGAGTGCGGTGCGTAAAGCCCACCTTGAGAATGGGTTTGCTGGTCCCTTAGTAGATGCGTGGCTTCTGAACAGGGTGTTGAAGGGCATCCAGCGATGCCACGGTACGGCTGTACTCACCCCTCGCCTTCCTATAACTATGCCTATCCTACGACAGCTGACGGATGCACGCCGGAAAAGTAGTATCCTGAATGGCCATGACAAGCTGCTCTACCAAGCCGCCGTGCTGCTTCTTTGGATTTTTTCGGCGTGCCGAATTCACTAATGGCATCACACGGGGCTGTACTAGCTCCCCTGGCGACGGACGCCTCCAACTCTTTCTGCTTTCATCCAAGACGGACCCATTCGGTAAAGGCGTTACCAGTGAAGTTGGCCCGTCTGTACCGCCGTACTGCCCGGTCCGTGCCATGGTTAGCTACCCATTTGTCACTCGTTGCGAGGGACCGGAACAACTGTTGTTCGTACTCTCGAACAGACAGCAGCTGACTAGGCAGTCATTCACAGTAACAGTACGATCTCTTGTCGCTGCGGCCGGTGTACCATCCCAGTCGAACTACTCCGGGCATTCAGTCCACATTGGTGCAGCCACCACCGCTGCTATGGCTGGTGCCCCCGACTCCTTCTTCCGAGTGGCAGGTCAGTGGAAAGAGCGATGCGTGTCTATGCTACATCCGGACTACAACAAGCACTAAGCGCCAGCTATCGTCCTGGCTTGCTGCCGTGTCATGGATGCCATGATCCCCAACTCGGGTGAGTAATGAGCTACTGAACTCTAGCTGCGCAATGCTTGCCTGTGCTCACATTAATTGACCCTTGCTGTGCGTCAATAGTGCTTAGCTAACGGAGTGCTGGTTTCATGGGTCCACTCTCACCACTGGTGTTATCTAGCTATTTGCTGCGGCTCTGCCTTGCGCTATATTACGTCCATTTAGCATTGCAGCTCTACGTTGAGCTAACAGCAGCTCTACTTTTAGCTAACAGCAGCTCTACTTTGAGCTAACAGCAGTTCTACTTTGAGCTCACAGCAGCTTTACTTCGAGCTAACACAAGCTCTACCTTGAGCTAACAGCTGCTCTACTTTGAGCTAACAGCAGCTCTACCTTGAGCTAAAAGCAGCTCTACTTTGAGCTAACAGCAGATCTACTTTGAGCTAATCGCAGCTCTACTTTGAGCTAACAGCAGCTCTACTTTGAACTAACCGCAGCTCTACTTTGAGCTAACCGTAGCTCTACTTTGAGCTAACACCAGCTCTGCTCTGAGCTAACAGCCGCTCTGCTCTGAGAGAACAACAGCTCTACTTTGAGCTTCCAACCAGTTGTTTCGAAACCAGCACTCCTCAATCCAAAGATGCCTCTTTGTTGACTTGTTTGTGTGAGGGATGGGACTAATGGTGTACTAGCTGTGCTGGTACTTGCTAGTAACAATCCGAACTAGCGCACACACTGCACTGCATTACTTTGTACTGCATTCAAGACTGACGTCATGCACTTTGTTTCACAAATCAGCTCTACTTTGAGCTAATAGCAGCTCTACTTTGAGCTAACCGCATCTCTACTTTGAGCTAACAGCAGCTCTACTTTGAGCTTACCGCAGCTCTACTTTGAGCTAACACCAGCCCTGCTCTGAGCTAACACCAGCTCTACTTTTAGCTTCAAACCAGTTGTTTCGAAACCAGCACTCCTCAATCCAAAGATGCCTCTTTGTTGACTTGTTTGTGTGAGGGATGGGACTAAGATCGCAGCTAGCCATGCCCTCTCTCCTCTTTGGAGGCAACTCTGTGCCAGAGTGCCAGAGTCATCCACACTAAAGCTCTTGGGTGTGACTTTTGATCAGAAGCTGTGTTTCGCTGAGCACGTCGACGCAGTGCCGATAATTATTTGGTAAACAGCGTCTGGGCCTCCTGCGGCGAGATGCTCTCTACGTCTCCCGAGAATGCAGACTCCCACTGTACAAGGGCTTTGTATAGCCCGTTTTGGAGTATGCTGAACTCTTTGGGATGGGAGTTGCTCTCACCCATCGTGCACGCCTAGACGGTATCCAACGCCGTGCATTGCAGATCATTGGTCCCGGGACGGAGCTCCAGAGCCTCAGCCTACCGCGATATGTCGCTGCGCTAACTTACACGTACAAACTACACTTCCTCACCGGTCTGATTGAATTGCTAGCAGTCCTCAAACCAAGGCTGGAGCCCCATGTCGCCACTGTGCCAGACGTGCGGAACCAGGAGTACCCTTACAGTCGTCGGTGCCGGGCGTAAGAAAAGGTTTTCCTTGAACGTGGGCACAGCGGAAAGTCATTTTCGCCGTAGCTTTGACATTCCAAGATATTCATTCGGAACGACAGCAAACTAACCCCTGGTGCAACATTTAGAATTTCCGCACTTGTTTCCAGGAAATATCGCCATGGTCCTCACGACTACTTAGTCTGAACTATAACGTATGTTGTGCTTAGGGAAAAATCAGCTTGAACGATCCGAAAAGGATTGCCTTTACGTTAGCGTTTTGTAGTTAAAGAAATCTATAAAAACAGCTTACACAAAAGAGATTGGGAGCTTTGTCACAACTCTGAGTTTCACGTATAACTACGATCATCAGGCAACTGATGGCTCCAAAACGGGCAGTCAGAACATAGGGGAACAAGGTGCTTAGGCATAGGGCTAAAATATAGTTCTCGTGAGCTTTAAAATTTCACCATTGTTTGGTGTTTGGCAAATTACGCCATCTTCCTAAGACCTGGAAATCTTATCTCTACCAGCACTCACCAGACAGCTTTTAATACATACAAAACAATATTGTAAATAGGCGTCGAGGCGACAATAGTTTTAGAATTGCGATCAACAGAACGAGCTGAACCGACATTTTCACAAAGGCTTTTATTGTATTCAAAAAACGAGTGTATACGAAGGCAGTGAAGAACATGGAAGAAAGAAAAAATGTGATGTGGAAGAAATGATGAACAAAAAATTGTACTTCGAACTAGTTTTCGCACAACACTCCTCAGGAAGCTACGTTGTGTATAAGCATCTTGCATCTCGTCCTTATTGCTGTAAGGTTTATTCTGATTCTTCTTTTTCTGTTTTGTGCCGTGCTCGTCATGGTTATAAGTTGCAGTTGAGTGTGTTAGAAGCCGTTTGTCAACGTATTCATAAGCCTAATCTGTGTGTCCAGAAGGACAGCATTATTCGTTTGAAATTATTATAGTAGCAACTTGTTCTGTCTGTTTGGCTCTGGTTGGCCATGGTGTCATATCTTGTGTCACAGTATACTAGTAGTCCTCCTTACAAGTTCGTTAAGTGCTTTCGCAGTTTTTCCTGTTATTACCTTAGTGCTAGGATTATCATTTTCATAGGTGTTGTTTCTTCTCACTCCATTTCTCTTTATAAGTATCTTTCTGGATTGTTTTTCATTAGTACAACGTAGCTTCCTGAGGAGTGTTGTGCGAAAACTAGTTCGAAGTACAATTTTTTGTTCATCATTTCTTCCACATCACATTTTTTCTTTCTTCCATGTTCTTCACTGCCTTCGTATACACTCGTTTTTTGAATACAATAATAGCCTTTGTGAAAATGTCGGTTCGGCTCGTTCTGTTGATCGCAATTCTAAAACAATATTGGTTAATGTTGAATCCCTAGTTACCTTACCTTGATTTGCACTGCCATTGACTGCAGTGTTGGGAACAGCGTCAGTGGCAGCTACCCCATTCAGTGCGATCTCATACGACTGCAGTATGAACAGTAGGCACAGGAGACTCGGGATATTCCCGAGCCAAGCCATGATTGAATGTGCCCTGATGATCTCTCGCTTCCACGCACAACAATATCAAAGAGATAACAGGTATAAAATTCAAGTTTGGAGCTCAGGTTCGGAAAGCAACTGGACAAAAATATTCCTCAACACTGCCTTATCATTCTCGATGCTGCAGCGGTGACTGCTCAAGTCATCTTTCAGTAACCACTGCTGCACCTAAACCAGTGCATACCGACGGGGCTGGTGCCCTTGTTCGTAGTGCGTGCAGTTGGCATTCCAGCTAGACAGTACGGTGTACCGACGCACATGTAAACCAAACACAATCCTACATGCAGTCCTCAGGGATATCAACAGACTTCCAGAAAATTCTCGAAACCATTAATGCAGTATGGCAGAGACAGTACGTCCAAACACAACTCAGTTCATGCACGCTGCTCCTCACTTCAAGACCAAACAGAAGTAGTAACCTGGGATCTGTTTACGATAGCAACTTTCGCGTGTTGACGTAGCATGTTGTTGTTGACTTAGCTGAGGCTGTCACCAACAACGATATCAAAGTACGCAACCACCGTTACACTATTCATTGAAGAAGTGCAGGTGCCTGGGATCGGTATGCAAGTTGACCTGGCACATTTTTAGCATGTGTCAAATCCTAACCAAACTCATGTCAGGCTTACTCAATTAAGAGCATCTCAAAAGATTTTACATTTTCCGATGTCAGCAACTGGAATCCATCATGTAGCACAAGCACCCCTATATCCAGTATGATAATTATGATGTCTATTCGTGTGTAAGCACGTTGAACGTCTGTGCGAGCTCAGGTTCATTCGCCTACGTTTCATTCCCTGTACAAATCGTGCTTTCGTTTTCACACTAGTTCATGCCACTCGGTTTTCTTAACCGTAATGTATGAGAATAATGATATTGTTGATAGGAACGGCGCAATGCCGAATAAATTCTATTTGCCCAGAAGTACAACTCGTGGTCATGTTGCTGGTGTGCATGAAGTGGACTAGGGAGCGCATGAGGTGGAAGTGGAACAAACCGATTCATGCACAGGCCTTAAGCTGTTGCTTACCCTCCTGTTCTAGTTTTCATTCCACGATTTGCCTTTGACCTTGTCCATAATGCCATGCACATGTATTGCTTCATTTAGATAATAATAGTAGCGACTTCGGAAATTATTTATACGAAAAGGGTTTGCTCCCCACTATGGAGCTCGCTCTTTTCCGCTGACTTGGCTTTGACTCAGGACTGCCGTCCAGAACACACGAGAAGTCACTCGACTTAGTAAACCTGCAAGAAAGGACCACTCCTGACCAATACTCAGTATTTTGGTGAATTCGCAACACATCAGTTAGGTGTTGCATTTGCCGCTAGGATTTACTGGGTGTTAGCGGCCGTCGTGAGTTGCCTTTGGGAACGGACACCATTATGAACACAGCCAGCCTTGATAGCTGGTTATTCCACCATTATGTACACAGCCAGCCTTGATAGCTGACTATTCCACCATTATGGTAATGTTAGTTGTTTGTATTTATTTGAATTCGCAACTTCAAAAGGGCAAGAACTCGATAACATGGTTCAAGCTAGTTCAAGCACAGTGATTGAAAATGGTGTATGTGTACGGGTACGCGGTGTGAGGCATGAGAAATTATTATCAGTTCCGGTTTGTTTAAAGTTCGAGCCTGTTCGAGTGTCTACGTCCATAAAAATGTGTGTGTGTTTACGTGTGTGTGTGCGTGTGGGTGGGTGTATGTGTATGTGTGTGTGTGTTTGTGCGTGTGAGTGAGTGTGTGTGCGTGTGTGGGGGGGGGGGGAGGGGTATGATATGCGTAACTGCATGGATCTCATTCCCTTCTACTTCTTTTAGAACATTGATGAGTCCACATGCAAATGGCAGGTAGTTGACACGCTGCCTGCACTGTCAGCCAATGACCAAGCTTGGCAGCGAGGTTTTGGCAAGTCTCAGACCAACTCACTCGTGATTGTAATACAGTCAACTTTGCGTATTTATGACACCTGCCCGGGCATCAGAAAAGTGTCCTTTTTCGAGAAGTGTCGTTATAGCCGAAGTCTCTTTACAGTTATATATGTAGAATGGACTTTGCTCTCAGTATGGAGTTTCTGTCGTTATTCGCGAATTGTGGTGTTATCGGCAGTCGTTATTAGCGAATTGTCGTTATATCCGCAGTCATTATCAGCGAACTTGACTGTATGTCATAGTCTGATGAACAAGCAGCAACCACTCATTTTCATTCCGTACAGGCCATGGAGTTAATCAATCAATAGACTCTGAGTCAGCGTCTGTCTATTGACACGTCCCTGTCAAGCAGCATTGCTGATAAGCAGCTGTTTGGCACCAGCATAGTAAAGTGGGTTTACATGTGTGGCAAATGTCAAATACTCACCAGCAAATGCCATCATACGGGTTGACTCGGGATAATGGAGTTGGGGACTCCACATAAGTCATGCTAGATTGAAATAACACATCTCAAATTGACCTGACATCTTCCTACGTCAATCAATGGAGTTACAGCATTGTTGACGTCACTGTGCACTGGAATTGTGTTGCATTACGGGCAAGTACATTCCTACTAACTCTGCCATGAACGTGTTGAAGCTTTGTCACTCGTATGTTGCATGTACATGTACATCTACATGACCGTACTACACTACACCAGAGAGAGAGAGAGAGAGAGAGAGAGAGAGAGAGAGAGAGAGAGAGAGAGAGAGAGAGAGAGAGAGAGAGAGAGAGAGAGAGAGAGAGAGAGAGAGAGAGAGCGAGAGAGAGAGAGAGAGAGAGAGAGAGAGAGAGAGAGAGAGAGAGAGAGAGAGAGAGAGAGAGAGAGAGAGAGAGAGAGAGAGAGAGAGAGAGAGAGAGAGAGAGAGAGAGAGAGAGAGAGAGAGAGAGAGAGAGAGAGAGAGAGAGAGAGAGAGAGAGAGAGAGAGAGAGAGAGAGAGAGAGAGAGAGAGAGAGAGAGAGAGAGAGAGAGAGAGAAGAGAGAGAGAGAGAGAGAGAGAGAGGGACAGAGAGAGAGAGGGGACAGAGAGAGAGACAGAGAGACAGAGACAGAGACAGAGAGAGATACAGAGAGAGGGAAA